AATGCCTTTGAGGTTCTTCCCATTCGGTCTTTATTCGATTCTCTCGGCGGAGATCAAGTGTTGCAGTTTTCCAGTCCACAAAATTTGAGTCTCATCCGGGAATTCTATTGCAATATTCATTCCATTCGGAAAGAACTTCTGGCATCATTTAAGACTTGGGTTAGGAAGAAGTCACTTGTCATCACGGGGGATGTGTTTCGGGTCTTTCTTGATCTTCCTGAAATTAGTAATTGTCATTTTCTGTTTCTTACTCGGTCCGGTGTTGATTTTGATCGTGTCGCATCTGAATTATGTGGAGTTGACCGGACTTGGCTTGCTGGGGCACTCATCCAGCAAAATGAGTTGCTTCGTCAGTTCCGTCTCTTAAATATAATTGTATGTGTGAATCTTTATGTCACCACCCATTCCTCGCATATTACTCAGGACCAAGGTTATATTTTATATTGTATTCATCATCGACTTCCTATTGATCTTCCCGAGATGATTGTTTCGAAACTGATTGGGGTCCTTGAGGGTAGAAAGTCTTTGGGGCTTCCTTATGGGCGTTTGCTTACCCGTTTTCTCACTTCTCTTGATGTTCCTTTTTCTGATGATGATGAGTTTGCCCATCCTGTCAACCCATTACCAAGTTCACTATTTCCCAAAGTCAGGCCCATGTGAGGGGGAGTGTGTCAGGGGTTGGGGGTTCTGGTACAAGTGGTGCAGGTGATGATCCCCTCACCAAGGAGGAGGAGGTTGATGCTGCTTATGCAGGTCCAGCCGATGCCCATGATCTTCCTGAGCGGCGTCCTAGATCCTTTCGTGGCCAGCTCCAGCACTTTGAACAGTCCGTCTCTCGACACCTTGATCTTATGGATGCACACCTTGATGCTTTTGATAGCCGACTTGATGAGCAGAGTACCATGCTCTCACAGATCCTCTTGCTTCTTCAGCCACAGCAGCCCCCACCTACTTAGTTTTTGGACTATGTTTATCTTTGCACAGTTTTTTTTTTATCTAGACAGTTTTTTGTTTATTGCCTTGGATCGTTTTACTAATGTTGTATCTGCCTGCTTTTGTTTTTGGGTCCCTCCCGGACAAAAAGGGGGAGTAGTTATATGTTTTGGGATAGTTTTGGGGTACTCATGATTTTTTTTTTGTAGATGAGCATTTGGACACGTTTATATACGTTTATATGTTACATTGTCATATTTACTAAATGATGTGGATATTACTGATGTGGATATTGGGCTATATGTTTTTTCTTTAATATCTTGATGGTTTGGTTTGTTATATTACATTTCAGGTTTGATGGACTTAGCTTTCATTACAGGTTTTCCTCAAGTTTGGTTTATTGTTTCAAGATGTTAGTTCCAGTTTGTTTTGAGATTGGTTGCATAGTTGGTTTGCTTTGAGTTGTAATCGTTTTACTAGTTCGTTTGTTTAGGAAATTGTGTTAGAAAGTTTTGTCCGGGTAGGTATTGACAAAGGGGGAGATTGTTAGGTCCCTAAGTCTTGTCAATCCCGCGAACAAACTTGTGTAATCGAGTTATAATTTCTGTGTTGTTTTGTATTGCTCGCTCGAACGACGAAGTCCTCGCTCGAGCGAAGGACTGTGTCTAGCTTAAAACCTGAAAGAGGTCATTGTGCGCTCGAGCAAAGCATTCGTGGCTCGAGCGAAGAACTGCATCTGCATACAAACCTAAAAGAGTTTACTCCTCGCTCGAGCGAAGACTTCGTGGCTTGAGCGAAGGCACTTATGGAAATCATGCGAGATAAGCTTCTCGCTCGAGCGAGCTTCAGAATCCGGATTTCTATAAGTAGTTGGTTTTCTCCAAACTTTAGGATTACTTTTTCCAGATCTACTTTGAGGTTTTCTAAGGTTTTCCTCTAGAGAGTTTTTGGGAGTTTTTCTTGATGTTTTGAGAGAGTTCTTCACTCATGATTTAAGATACATACATCAAGGAGTTTGTTACTTTAAATTCAAAAGAGTTCTCTTCGTTGGATTCCAAAGGTTCAAACGTAGAGTTTCAAAAGGCGTTTGATTCTGTACGTAGTCGTTAATTCGATAAGTGAAGTTGTGGATTCAACTTCAGGATTGATCAGTTCCGAGACGAAGGTGTGGTGAAAGAGTTATAGAAGATTCGAAGACAAATTGACTGAGTTGGGTAATTTGTGTATTATCTTTGTAATCTTTCTTTCTTCAGTAGTGAATTGATTAGTGGTGGTTCACCCGTGGTTTTTTATTACAATTGAAGGTTCTTCAACTGTGGTTTTTTTCACGTAAAAATCGTTTGTGTCAATTTATTGTTTATTCAGAAAAACAACAATTTAAATCACTTTCATAAGTGCTTGATGATTTAGATTGCGTGTTTTATATAATTGGGATTTGGACTATTTTAATCTTGATCTAATCACGAATCACTTTAAGATTTTCAATTACAATGGCTAAACCTAAAAGATGAGGCAATGAATTAACATATTTATCAATTTTTTCTTTTATTGCAATAATAATGGTTATATAATATTCATTACCCATATGTTTTGTGAAAACTTTCATTATTTCTGCTAACATATATAAAACAAATGGTGAAGTAGAAATATATATGTAAGAAAATAATTTTGTTGCAATATCAAAAAAAATTAGAAAATATATATATAAGGTTACTTAGCGCTAATTAAGTTCTGTGAGAATCAGTACTACTCCTATTGATATTGTTGCAAAAAATAAATCTATTGATTTTCGTTGTTTACGAACTTTCTTTAACATATTGTACATTGAATTCCACCTGCTGTTTATATCTAAAATTAATTTTTTAAATTTCATACACTCTCATTGATAAATTTTTCTATATTTTGAAATTTAATTAGTAAAAAACATAATAGTAACAACTGCTTGTTTTATTATCAGTACAAAAGTCTCATATACAGACATAGCTTCTTTAAGAATCAAGTTTAAAATATGAGCACAATAACAAACATCAAATAAATTACCATCAACAAGTAATTATAAAGTTGATTTCAAATGGGCTACAGTCTAATTGTAGTATGTTGCATTATATAAACTAATGATAAATATTTTATTTTACAAAGCTCACTCATATAATACATTTCCTATTTTTACCCCAAGTGAATAACCAGTGTATGGAAGTTCAACTAATCTAAGTGAAATAATCCTTTTATTTAATTTCTAATCATTATTAATAAAATGTACAGTGGTACATTGATATTTTAAACCATTATTTGATCACAGATCAGATGTTAAACAAATTCTTCCATTCAAATTTTTTGAAAATGTCAAATAATTCACTTTTAATATCATCAATTTTTTTAAAAATCCTCTTTCTAATAGTATTTCTTAAAAAATATTTGATATTGCAGTACAAAACCCCCGTGAATTATTTCTAAAAAATGGGGACATCCACTAGTAGTAAAATGTTATTTTTTTTAATAATATAATCAATTACAATTTTTTGTGTACGTATAGAATCATATGAAAATATTTACAAATTACCAATTAATGAATCTCCTAATTGCATTTTTGTTCTAATATCAACTTGTTAACTTTATAAATGTCTTTGAGTATGCCTTTTTAGATGGCTAGTACTCCAGCCAATGCAGCACTAAGTAAATGTGTATAATATTTATATTTTGCTTTAAATACAGCTGTACCATCATGATTAGTTACAGATACTCTTTTCAAATGCTTTCAAATAGTACTAGACATGCCCCTAGATGATGATGCTACTATTGGAAGATGGATATTATGTACAGTAGAAAGAGAATCAACAGTTTCATGTTGTATATATACATCAATATCGACATAAACATTAAGAATATTAAGATCTATAGTAATGTAAATAAAATAATATATATAAACTAACAATTAACTAAAATAATGAGTAAACAATAACAACTAATATATGTTAAAAAATAATTAATGTAAAAAAGATGAGTAACTAATAAATATTAGTTCAAATAATTAATGTTATCGACTGACGAATGCGATACAAAAATTAACTTATTTTGATAAAAGTTTCTTCTTATACAATTGCAATTGCCACTTAATGATGAAATTTTAAAATTAATTGAGAGAATGAGAGTTTGAGAGAGAGAGAGAGAGAGAGAGTTTGAGAGAAATAAAATGGAAGAAGAGTGGTATTTATAAAAGTTGCGAGAGGGAGGGGTTAATTTATAAAAATTAAAAAAAATATAAATAAAAAGGTTGTTTGGCCGTTGTGGAATTAACAATTCAATGACCATTTGAAATTTTTTTTTTTTTTTTTTTTTTTTTTTTTCATCTGTTACCGTTGCACAGTGAAGGGAGCGATTGGGCGGGTTGGCCACCAAGGGAGGGGTGACAATTTTCAAGCTAAGCTCCAAAACACACGGCCCAAACCCAGAATCTCAGGCTAGACTCGAGCACAGGCCTAGCCAAGCCTAACCAAGCCGAGCCCACCCAGGCCACAGGCTAGCTGGCCAAATTTACACCCCTCCACATATTGGTGTGATTTTAGGCTATAATAGTGGACCACATAAGGATTGAAAGAGAAGCCAACTGGCCATTATGTTGTTTGTGCATCTTACCCCATGATTACACACATGACGAATTTATTTTCATCGAGAAATACCCAGTTAAGACTAGTTACTTTCAAATAGTCAAGTGACTTAATTGTCAGTCTCAATTCCAACCCCACCTTTGTCTCCCTTTTGTAAAATCAGATTGCAAAATGACACACAACTTTCCTGTCTCCATCAACTTGCAAGAAAGTTCTACCCCCATGAAGGTTAAATTACCTTTAAGAAAAGGTGGAACATCATAATTCAGGCATGATCCACCAAAAAGTTTTATTATGACCAAAAAAGGAATTGGGCATGCATATTAATCATGAATCTGTGCAGATCCCATGTCGAGAATAAAAAACAGAGAACTATCATAGCATGCTATACGGTTTTTAACACATGAAAAAGGGTTGTTAGTCACTGTCAAAATAGAAGCAGTGATCAGGTAACTGCTAGAATGTTATCGGACTCAACTGCTAGAATATATATATTATGCTGTGACAGCCAAGAAACTTACATATATGTCCTTCATTCATTACAAGAGAAACTAAAATAAGACAAGGGAGAAAAGTATCTTACAGAAATACCAAGTTATCCATCCTCGTTGAAGTTTAAGACAAGCTCTCGATGCAGCATTTCACCACGAATTGAATAAAGCCTATAACGTCAAGGTTGATCTCACCCTGTCATCTTCGGTACTGGGATGACTCTCTTTATTACCCTTGGTTTTATTGCCTACACTATATTATCACATCTGATCTGACGCAAACAAATATTTACACTATCGGAGATACATGCACAACCCAGTACTACGTCCCGTATAATTCCTAGATTCATAAAGCTGATAATTTAAGCTCTTCTTCCTTTATGTCCTTCCCTCTTACCATCATTTCTAGTTCTCAGAGAATAAGAACTTCCCACTGGTCGTGATGCCTTGTCAGAAAGCTCACAAGGTTCCTGAAACCCAATATTTTCCACGGCACCAACTGTCTTGAACAACCGTCTCTTGTTCACCTCTTCCACCAATGACCGGTGCAGCACCTGGCTATGTATATCGACGAGAGATTGGTTCCTTGTTAATCTACAGCTGTCCATCAGCCATCCAACTTTAGATTTCAAAGCTTCTTGTGAATTGAGCAAAACTTTGCATTGCCTGTGACAATTTCTAGCCCGGGATTGCCTGGTGCTAGAATTTTCTTCTGGACAGAACCTAGTAGACTTGTGCGCGTTTGCATTTGAGTACTGCTGATCTCGTATTTTGGGGCTCTTACCAGAGTCATGTTCCTCACCAGAATAGTAGTTCAAGTCCGAATATTTCCCTGAGTGCAAAGAACTTTGAGAGCTGGTTTCATCAAACAAGTCATCTGCAACAACATTTTGTTGCCACTTATTGGTTGAAGAGTACAAATTCTTGTGCTTTGTGTTCAACTAGGAAAATTTATTTATGAATGTATATTCAATGAGGGAGAAAATGGAGCAATTTATAGTCAATGGAGAAGAAAATTAAGCCCAAACAAAAAAAATTCGTTTAATAGTGACCTATATATAGCTTACATTTCCTATAAACCTAAATTTGTTTTGCTATCTATTGATACCCCAATTGTTTCCCCTGCATTTCACAAGTTTTTCCTTTCATGAATGTACATTGGAGTTTGAAATACAGACGATTTCTTTGTAGAAGGGACATTCATGAAAAGCAAATTGAAAAGGATTAAAGAATTGCATATAATATATTAGGGCAAATTACACTAACAGTCTCTGTAATTTGGGACTTGCGTCACTTTGGTTTCTGATCTTTCAATTGTGATTACATTTGACTCTAAATTTTGAATCTCGTTCCAAATAAAAACAATTAAAGATATTGTTGCGCTCCACTTCAAGGGTAAAATCGTTAATTTAATAAAATACAAATTAGCTTGACAAAAATAAATGTCAAAAAAATATTTTTTAATTTTTAAAAATTATTTCTACTCACCAAAGATAAAATTATATAAAAATGATAAATCTTTTATGTTTTTATTTTTCTTTACCAAATTAATTTTTAGGATGTGTTTAGATGACAATCATGTAATGGGTGATTGTGTTTGCCGATATTTTTGAATGGTTATCATGTAATAGATGGTTGTATTTGTTATTAACAGATATTTTTTTATAATTATCATGTAATAGATAGTTATTGCAATTTTAATATATAATCGATATGATTAATATATGAAATGTTTTTAGTTTTGAAATTTTTGATTTAATGGATTGGCTTAATAATGACATCAAAGTTGTCGCCATGTTTGACTTTTGATAAAATAAAAACTAATCTAACAAAAATAAATATCAATTTAAAAAATTATTTCTACCCTCTCAAAAGATAAAATTATATAAAAATGATGTGTTTTTAAAAAAAAAAACCACCATTTTAATTTTAAGTTTCTTAAAAAAAAATTTTATGAAAATAGATTTTAAAAACCAAACCGAACAGAACTTTATAACTAAAAAAGGTCCAGCATTATTCATTAAAAAAAAATGTCATTATATTTCAAACAACATATAAGTTAACCGACACAAAATAACTTGTATGACGATTTTGCCCTACAAGTGGAGCAACAATGTCTTCAATTATCCTTATTTAGAATAAAATTCAAAATTTAAGATCAAATATATCACAACTGAAAGGTCAAGAACCAAAGTGACACAAGCCCCTAACTATAGGGACTCTTAGCATAATTCGCCCAATGTATTAATATGATTCCATATGAATATAAACCTGATCTCATAGCAAATTGCTGTAGACCAGAACCAATAACTTTGGTCACAGAGGGCAGTGCCCCTGACCATTGGCCCCAATGACTATCAGCTAGATAATTATTCCATAAGGTCATATATTAAGGTCATGTTACTGATTAAATTGCCTATATCTTTTTGTTTTTTCTATGCTAAGAGAACAGATGACCTACGACACACAACACAACAAGGGACAAGTAGATAGAATTCCAACATACATACCCTGGAGCCAATCACAACCATGAGTCCTTTCTCCCATCTTGGAGGAAGCAATAAATGCAGAGAGTGACACTTGGGATGATGAACAAGAGGAGAAACAGTAAAAGCGATGATGGTGCCCATCATCATCCTCTTGATATTGTACGGGGCAGTGATCTGATTGAGGCTGGCCCCATTTTTCCCAATGTGGTACAAGTGCAGAAATCTCTCCATCAATCATTACCGCAATTTGAAAGGGCTCCCAATCGGTGATCTCCAACTCCTTCACCAACTCAGTTGCAACATCGAATGGTGTGTCACTAGCAATGTCAAAGGGGAAATATACATTCCTAACAGAATCTGCAAGAAATGCAATATGAAAATTTAACCACATATAAGTCTCTTGAGGCAAGCTTCGACTAAAACTATTATATTTTGGTAATAGTGGGGTTTTTTCCACTGCCAGCCAATTAATGGGCTATCATCTAGAGCAGACTTAGGGCTACAAGCAGAGCACAAGCTTCACCCATGGAAAACATAGGGGTCTGCACCACAATTGTGAAAGACTAGAGCCCTCTATTTCTTTGTTTGCTAAAGGTTTTGCAATTTGACATACTTAAATGAAGGACTCTGTACACTGCTTATCAGGGCATTTGAGCAAAATGATAAAATCTAAACTAAACTGATAAAACGCAAAATCATTCAATAAGGTAGTGCATAAAACTGTGTTTTATAACTAAAAGTAGTTAACAGAATGTTCCTAAAGTCCTACCTCCTTCATCAGCTATCTGCACCTTCAGAAAGATTGTATCATCTTCAGGATTTAGCTTTCCTGTTATAGTCATGTTGGTCCGTGATGGATTTCTGCTAAGCTTGAGTTCCTCAATTCTTATGTTGTCATTCAAAAAGGGCTTCTGACATCCAACTTTTGTTGCAGCCAATAATTCTTCTTCATCAAATGCAAGAAATGGATCGAGCAATAGCTCTTTCGCTGATAATCTCTTTGAAGCAGTTTCTAAGCATTTGCCTATGAATCTTTGCGCTTCCAAGTCTCGAAGTTTATAGAATGATCTTGGCAGCTTTCCCTGAATGAAGAAAACAGCATGTATGTAAAATATTGATTGACTTAAATATTTGATGCCATATATATCAAATTCTGATCTTACCAATGTCACTTTCTTGTAGATTTGTGCTGGGTTGGTGCATTCGCTATATGGGTATTCAGATGTGAGCATCTCCAAAACACACATACCAAATGAGTAGACATCAACTAGTTCATTGTAACTTTCCTCATATAGTTCTGGTGCCATGAACTCTGGTGTGCCTATCACCAGGAAAATTTTAAAGCATGGTATAAGTAGTTCAACAATATTAATTAAAAAAGTAAATAAAAATCCAATGTTGGTTTTAACTACATATTAAGGGTTCAATTTGAGACATTTGACCAATTTATATCTAGCTTTTAAAAAGGTAATCTTTTACTTGGGCTCCTGTTCAAGGATGGTTTCATTTCATCCTATGCAAAGTCAACTGTTTTTGGATGCAAGAAAATTAAGATATGTTGTTACACTATTGTATATCTTATGCTGAAATAAACAACTGACTAATTCTAAACTTCTTGCCTGCTTTTTGGCTCAAATTTCAAACAGGAAATTACATACAATTTGATTTGGCTGGAGTATCTTCTAAAAGGGGTAGGGGTTTGGATTTGTTCATCTTGATCCATTTAACAGAAGACTTGGGAATGAGTTGAATGATGTAACATAACCATTTCACCCATACACATTCCTAAAAAGTGTGTCCAACATAATTAAGTGCTAATGCCAGAGATGAGTACCTATAACACTGTGTGCTGTCTGAGAACCATGTAGAATCGCAGCCAAGCCCAGATCACCAATCTTCACTTGGCCAAGATGGCCATTGACAAAGATATTATCACACTTAATGTCTCTATGGATCACGGGAGGATCATGGCTGTGCAAATAAACAAGGCCCGCTAGTATTTGGCAGGCCCAATTCTTTATGGCACGGATGTGTACTTGCTTATACTTTTTCCTGTATCTGCAATACATCACACGGATGTCACCCTATTCAGTCTTATTGCTTGTGAAGAATCCATTAAGTATAAAATTCTACTTGTAATCCCATTGAGTACTAGTGCATGTAAAGAATCTATAAGTATATACAATACAATGTATCCAAACCTAAGAGACTCCAATCATGCAACCACAAGTTGAACATGGACCTACTACTATTTGACCTCAGTTGGAGACTATGTTACATGGACTCTTCTATTTTTCCCAAAATACCTGCATCCATGGGATGTGACAAGGGCAAATGTGTAGGGTATATGTCGACACCCATACCTAATTTAAACACTTCAATTTTATGATGTTTGAAGAACAAGAAACTCACATTTTCTAGTAAAAAAAAAATCATAACCTATAACACAGATGAGAGATAAAAAAATTTATAATCTTTTTAATCTTATTTAAGATCAAGTACATTTCTACATAATTTATAACTAGCCTATCACTCGTGCTATGCATGGCATAATTATAGATATTTTATATTTATTTTAGATTTTTTTTAATATATAAATTATGTTTTTTAAGATTTTTTATAAAAATAATTTAACAATCTTATCACTAATCATAGTGTATGTGAGAAGTTGAAAAGGATACTGCAGTAACTATATATGGATTGTATCTATAATTATTTGTATGATGAGATTTTAAATGCTGATTAGGGGATTTTGACCAAATCAATAAATGCAGGCATGTGGAAAGACATGTGAATTGAAAAAATTTAATAAATGCTGATCAAGAGATTTTGACCAAATCAATAAATGCTGATATTTTTTTTTAAATAAAAAATAAAAAATTTAGAAAATTCAGATTGGGATATTGAAACTCTCACAGGCCTTGGGGGTTAAAAACCCCATTTTACTTAATATATAGTATAGATATCTTATCTTCGAATATTTTATACAATATGCAATATGTGTGTGTGTGTGTGTTCATTTATTATTAATATAATATGAATAGTAGCTTGACAAATTTTTTTCTCTTTTTAATCACATTCAAATCACCAATTGTTAAACAAGATCACAATGGACCCCAACCCATTAATCCCTCATGCTGAGGGAATCAGCCCTGGATTAACTCAGAAACAAATATTAAGTGATATATTTTCACAGTTTTGTTGGGCTCATGGTTTGAAGAGGATATCGGAAAGACAATACAAACAAACTGTCCACCACCTTGAAATGTTCAATGAATTTAATAACGGGATCATTCCATGAAAAAATCAGCTCAGAAACCCCTAAATTTTGAGTGCAAAATGAAAGAGTTTATATCTAAACAACAAAAGAGGGACTGTGAAATTACTGTCGGAGGGTGCCTGAAGCAAACATTTCAGTTATGAAATTGAAGGTTCTTTGATCAACATCAATCCAAGATGTGTAGAATTTCATGATTGAGTTGTGATCAAGGGTGCTGAGGAGGTGAACCTCTGAATATAGCCGCTGTAAGTTCTCTGCTGACTGGAGCAAGTCATTAAGTTTTACCTGATTCCATGCCACTTCAACTCCAAGAACAACATCAATTGCCTTGTACACAGTTTTCATTGCCCCTTTTCCAAGAACTTCTTCAAACTGTCCATGAAAGATACAAGCATTCATATTGTCATTGTGGGTGTCAAGTAATTCATAATCAATTAACCAATGCAACCACTCAATTAGTTTGTTCAACAATGGATTCTCCAATGAAATATAAAAATAGTACACCTCCGCCACCACCACCATTAGAAAAAGAGTTCGATAACAATAAATGGGTTGGTTGTGTTGATTTGTCTAACCCATACCGAACTCAACCCACGTTTATAAAATTGGTAGGTTTGGCTTGAATTGTTATCGCACAACCCATTTTGACCAGCCCGAACCCACCTGTTTGTCACCTCTAAATAATGCTATGACGACCACATTTGTATAACAAAAGTTGCTTGTCATTCCATCTGTCACCATTGTATTGATTTAAAGATCCTAGCTGCCTAAGACTTTTGTTACTAGGGAGATTCTCCGGTGTGCACCCCCATATGCAACTTACCACAAAAATGTGTAACTTTTATCACAAAATTTTGTAACACCAACCACAAAATGCGTAACCTCGCCACAAATTGGCGTAACAAAAATATCGTAACCAAGTCACAAACTTTTGCAACATCAATTACAAAATTTTGGACATTTTTGTTACGCCAATTTGTGGCGAGATTACGCATTTTGTGATTGATATTACAAAATTTCGTGATAAAGTTACACATTTTTGTGGTAGGTTGCATATGCACGTGAGCATTTCCCATCTTACTGATACAGTAACAACATATAAGATGATAACCAATTTTTGGTACATAAATATAATTATCATAACAATATCAAAATTTCGATGGTGTTAAAAAAATTAAAATAAAATGATATTTTAGGATCACATTTTTATGGTTAATGGGATGAATTACCATCCATGAAGAAAAACACTACAAAATGTGTGAATTTTGGATAAATCTACATCTTTGCACAGGCAGGACGAAGGCTCACTTGGGCCAAGGGGGACCATGGCCACCCCTCACCATGAGGATTCCTTTATTGCATATTTTATGTCAAGGCTTGGAATTTTTTTTTATAAGATAATGGCCCTCCTTCTAAGAAGTGTAGCTAGCAACATATACCAATTTCTTTCTTTTTCTTTATCGCATTCCCTTTTCTCCTTTTTTTTCTCTAGTAAAAAATTGGTTTTTTGTTTTGTCCAGTTTAAAATTTTACATTCTCTTTCGAATGAATTATCCTTGATATGTCCAATTTCCTAACAAAAATTATCAATTGGACTAAATTGACATAACATAAAAAATTAAAAGGCAAAATTGATACAATTAGAATTACAGGAACCAAATGGACATAAATAAAAATTAAGTATAATTGACCGTTTCATATAGATATACTCTTGGCCCCCCTCAAAGAGGGAATCCTAGGTGGTTGTTTCATAACAACTACACAACTGGGCCTTTTTTCTCTTCATAATTTGTATAGGAGGTCAATTCGAAATATATTGTTATTCAAATTCCTGTACTTGAAGATCGGTGAATAAGTAAATTGCAAAAAATGAAGTTAATGACAGCTTGGCATTTAGAATATCCATTATCGACCCTTGATTTCTTGGTTAAAGGATGATGTCCACCAATAATTTTGCAAACGTTGATACAAGTAAGAACTAAATAATTCCAATGAACTGAAAACCCGCATGATAGAGAACTTCATAGACCATGAAAACAATTGGGGGCTAGGCTTCTCCCCAATCTGAGATCGGACTGGAGCATGCTGTTGGGACCGGGGAGACCCACCACATGTTCTGTTTCGATAATCAGAAATGTTCAATGTGTAGGACTCACCGAGTATTTCATCTATACAAAAAATCACATCAATTGGATATCGATAGTCATTTGATCAAATCATATCATATTTCTGTCAACGGTAAATATGATTTTCAAAATAAACTGTTAAGCTATGTATATCCGATTAACATGATTTTTTACAAGAATGAAATTCTTGACGAATTCTACACATTGAACGATTCGGATTATCAAAACAAGACCCGTGGTGGCCCCATGGGCCCAAAGAGCATGGTGGACCGGAGAGAATCGGTTTCCAATAATTGGAGGATTGAAAACAACACAAAAGTGTTCATAATATTATATTCACAATGATGGTATAACTTTTGTAAAGCGTCTCAAACCCTCTCTTACATACACAAATGAAACAATGTTTCTTTGCTAATACTCATTGAATTGCTTAACACAGGCAAACAAAGATCCCAATAAATGATCAATCAATCAATCCAAAACCTGCATGCATATATAATTCAAATATATATATATATATAGATATAGATATGAACTTACACGAACATAGCGTCGAGTTGGATCGGTTTCAGCACAATCACGATCAGATCTGTGCTCATCGCAACGCTCTACAAACCTGCCTCCTTTGTGCATGTTTGAGACGAGTGTTCAAAATAGGTTATTATTCGATTCTTATTATGCAATACAAATGAAATCAAACAGAGAAGAGAAAGCAATGTAAGAATCTAAATCCGAGGCTTCCCCTCATGATTTTCGTAGGAAAACACGCCGAATAGGATCCAAAAGAGCCTCGAGAAGTCAATCCTAAGCATAATCGAAGCCATCTCCACAACCGCGCGAGAGAAGTCGTAGTTCCTAGCAAACATTTGAAGATTAGAAGTAGTAGTGAGTGATGAGGTTGGATTTGACAGCAGAAGGAGAGTGATTAAAGAAACTTTTTTCCTGGAAAATTTAGTACTAGAATTTTCTCGAGTGAGTGGGGGAAAGCAAAGGAGAGAAGTGGAAAGTGAAAGAGAAAAATGAAGGGAAGATTAGAGATGGGAAGGCCTGAACTTGAAGAATCTATGGCTAAGCTTAGCGAGTGCCATTTGTGGTGGTTGATTGAGAGATCAATCGAAGAGAGAAAGTAGAAGGAATCTGAAGAAACAAAACTTTGAGAAAAATACAATGAGGTGGTGGTGGTGGTGGCTGGTGAGGAGGGTTGAGGGGATGGTAAATAGCGGTAAAGACGGAACCGTACGATACGAGTTGGGAGTTGGGGTGGATATCATTCGAGGTTGTTTGCATTAGGGTCGGTGTCGGGCTTATTTCAACTTCGATGTTTGTTGGCAGTTTGTTTGTTATTTTTATTTTTTTAATTTAAATCTGTTTAGTTATTCAATTTTCAAAATTGAGTTTTTAATTTGAATTTTTAAAAAGCTTCACAAATGTTCTACGTTTTGAGTACATGATATACGGGTCGCTGGAGATAATTTAAATCAACGATTTTTTTAATTTTTTATGAAATAATACGTAGAAAAGTAAATATATTATTATCTAAATAAGTACACTTATTTAGGAGACGCCAAATAGTAACGAGAAATTTATGAATAAATACTTCAAAAAATTGATAAAAATATTTATAAAATTGACTAAAAATTTTTTAAAAAAATGCTGCAAATTGAAAACTTAAAAACTAGATAATCAAACAAAACTACTGAACTAGGATAGGCTGAAAAAGTGGGAAAAAAAAATTGAGTCAAAAACCAAAAACAATTTTTTTTTTTTAATTTTAATTTTTAGATTTGTCTCAATAAGACAAATTAGGAAGTTTAAAAAAAATTAACATAATTTTTAAAAAAGATCACTAAAAACAAAAACAATTCAAAAAAATTATGACTTTTTTAGGTGTATGCCAAACAAAAATTTGAATTTGACCATTATATTTGAACTTATAGACTCACCACTAGTTCACGTTTTAATTATTTGAATAATTCGTTTTATAAGATTCTTTATATATTATCTATGAAAAACATTAAACTAATTCGATAATCATAACATTTTTGTTTTATCTTTTTTTTTTAATTTTTATAAATAACTCATCTTTTTTTTGGAAATAAATGTAATAACCTAAAAAGGTTACGATTCCAGACGGTAGGAAAAGGACGGGGGAGCTAGGGAGACAGGTTGAAGGAGGAGGAGGAGGAGGAGGGGGAGGGGGCTACGAGGGTTGATAAGAGTTGGGGGCGACTAGTAGAAGAATGTAAAGGTGGGGTTCAAAGGGTTTTTTTGAAATTATGGTAAAGATTCAAAGAAAAAGGAGATGAGAGCAATTTTGGTGAATAATAGTTTAAAAAAGTAAGAAAACCTAAGAAGAAAGTATGGAGATTTAGCAACACTCATTTATATATACTAAGGAATTATTAGGTATAAATTTTAAATTGATCTCAATTAGGAGTGAAAATTAAAATATGAGTCATTGCTCTGATCGTTAATATTTTGAACTGCATTAAACTAGCTGATTAACCACTCAACTGGCGACTCGTTTTTTAATTGATTCTTTTAATGACTTTTTTTACTTTTTATAAAAAGATATTAAAAAAATAAAAATAATAATTTGATAACTTATAGTTACTTTTAAACTTGTTAACAAAAATATTTAATTCCCAAACTAGCATAATAACTTATACTAAAAGTGTGAAAAGTCTAAATCCACACACTCTACACCATATGTGTCTTGCATATGGTGCAATAATGCAACTTCTTATCATGGTTATTTTTCAATTTTCAATCAATTAGCAAATTGAAACAATTTCAAATCATTCAAATTGCGATTTAGTTATTTATCATTTACAATTTAATTTATAATTTTATTGTCAAATCATCCAAACTGCACCACACACACCTGTCATGGATGGGAAGGCCATGCTTAGCCAAATACCCTTATAGACAAAGGCAATACCTCACTTATCCCTCACCTAGTGATGTAATAATGGCTCGGCTCGGCCCAAGCGGGCCTCGCGAGCTCCCTCTTCTCTGGCGGGCCGGCCCATAGGCAGAAAAGTAAGGCCATACCCACTCAAGGCCTAGGCTTGAGCAGTGCGCCAAGCCTCTGCAGGCTTTTTTTTTTTTATATAAAAAAAATGAACGATAAATATGTTATCTATGTAGATTATTTATTGGAGATAAAAAAAATAAAAGAAAAATTATACTATATCCCCAACTCTTGTATGACTATTTTTTTTCTAAAAAATGCTTCTTATTTACAAAAAAATAAAAATAAATAAATTAGGCATGAATAAGGACATATTTGGTATAGCAAATTGGAATTTAAAATATTTTTTATGTCCAGAATTTGTATGGGAATATTTAACACAATTCTTGATTATAATATAATGTAAAATAATTTAATTAAGTTTTAAAAATATCTATCAAAAAACCTTATTAATTATCAATTTTAAATTTTAAAAACAAAAAATCATACCAAATGGTAGTAAACTCTGAAGAACTAGAAGTCCATCGCAACTTGAGCAAGAAGACAATGAGGGGAAGAAGCCGCCCCCTAATCATTCATATCATATTTTTTAAATTATTTTATATGTTATTGAAAATAAATATAAATTTATTATATTAATACCAGATTGACCCATTAAATTATTAAAATATATTATATTAAGAAAATATGATTATTCTATTTCGATTAATTTTACTTTTATCTTTTAAATTATCACTATTCATCTATTGCATCCTAAATTATCAATTTTATCTAGGCAGTCCATGAAGTTTTTTATTTTGGTTTATGTTGTTCAATTGATGATAATTGTACAATTTAATAATAGTTGAAATCTAATTTAATGATTAAGAAATAATTTCAAATTTTGAATATTTTGTTCAAAATAATATGAAAACTAGTGTTTGATTATACTATTTAAATTATTCAAATTTTGAAATAACATGCCATCAAAAAAAAAAAAAAACTGTCATTTTTGCTCATCAAATTAAACTCCAGTGGTTTGTGATTTGTACTAGCGTCTCTAATTAGACTACTTGAACTGAAACCAACAGCTTAAAGAACTTTAAGAAACAAAATTGATAATTTAGTAAAGAAATTTAAAATAATAATAAAGGGTAATTACCAAAAAAAAAAACCAAAAAAAACAAAAAAAACAACTCAAGAGTTTGACCCTAATAATAAAATATAAAGGGTAAATTACACTTTACTCTTCTTATGTTTGGTCATTTTTTCACTTTGACATTTTAAGTTTATTTTTTCTCACTTTGTCCCCTCATGTTTCAAGTTTTTCGCCAATCAAAAAAAAAAATGTTTCAAGTTTTTCCCAATTTATTTTTAAAATTAATTTTTGTTCAAAATTAGACAAAAAATACCATGTTAACTTTCACATAACATAAATATATATTATTAATTATATTAGAGTTTAGGTTTGTGTCAAAGATACGAGTCACATATAATAAAATATTTTTATGTAACGTGACTATGGTTATATCGTTTTGAACACAAGTTAGTTTTTGAGTAAATTGAGAAAAACTTGAAACATGATGAACCCGAAGTGAGAAAAAAACAAACTTTAATAAGTGCCAAAGAGAGAAAATAGCCAAACATAAAAAGGGAAAGTGTAATTTAAACCTAAAATAAATCTTGAATTTTTTAATTTTATCAATTTGAACCCTAATCTTTTAATTTACTTTCAATTTAAACCATAACACTATTTTTGTTAAGTAAAATCTACAAAAAAAAAAATGATATATTAATCACTAAACTCAATATAGGTGTACATAAAATGTCTAAAGTAACCTTTTTTTATTGAATTTAATGACTAATTTTTTTTTTTTTTTTGATTTTACTTTATAGAAATAGACAAATAATTAGATTAAAACAAATAAAAAATTTTAAAATTAAAATTTCAAAATTTATTTTATTTCAAAAGTCCTACTATAATTTATTTTATTTTTTTTTAATTTTTTTATAACTTCCCCTAATAATAATACCCATAAGAATAATGATAATAATTTAGAAGATAAAAGTGAATTAACTAGTCTAACATTAGGAAAATGTTTGAGACCCCTTTTGAAGATAACCCCCCACACCCCTAAAGTGATTCTGACATTTCTTTTGTTTTTTTTGGTACATATTCTGAGATTTCATAAATATGTAAAATTCATTTATATATGTGTAGTTCAAATTATAAGTAATTCAGATTTAGAAGAGTTTTGTGAGGTGTTAATCATTATTCCGAACATTATTGGTTATAGAATAGACGTCTACCATTGTGGTTCATAAACTAGTGGGTTGAAAAGAAAACCTTTCTCCATTAAAAATTCACAATTATGTTATACATTTCGAAAGAGACAAAAAAGAGTCCCACCACACTTGCCTTATACTTATCCTCTTTTTGCATTTTTTGGTTGGTCTTATTAGCACTATAATCTTATCAAAAATAGTTGAATAAATTACACATTTATTTCTTGTTTTATAATTTTTTTTAAGAGAAATATATACATAATAGCGTGTATCATATTTTTAGGAATAAAATTATAAATTTACTCAACTAAGTGAATTAACATCAATCAACTTAATGTCAAAAATCCTAATCGGCATTGTTAGGATCAAAATTGAATCAATTGAAAGTGTGAGGACCAAATTGACACAAAGAGCAAAATGCATGGATTACTTTTGTAATTTATCCAAAATATTTTATTTAATTTTTTTTCTTTAACTAGTAAAAGTTGCAATAAAAATCATTTATATTATTTTTATCAACTTTTTCAACTGTTAATCTCTATACCTTACACTTTCGTTTCTCTGCTCCCTTAAGATCAATTTAGATATTTGTGGAAATTTTGCAATTGAAAGCAAGATATGATCCCTTTTTTTTCTTATATATGAAAATGGGAGTAAATAGAGACACTTTTATTTTATATTTATTACCCATTTTCTTTCAACAATTCTTCAACTTACCTCAAAATTGTCTTAGTACATATATATATATATATATATATGGTTAATTATGTTTAGTATTTTTATATTTTTATCAAAATTTATTTCACTTTTTTCAATTGTAACTGTGAACCTTTTATGTTTTAAATTAATTCATAATATCATACTTCCAATCATCTAGTGTTTTTAAAGTAGACAAAAATTACACGTGACCAGTAACGCCTATGAATTTTTGTGAGGGTCATTCAAATTTTTTTGGTATTGTCTTTATTTTTGGTATTTAATTTTTTTTCATGTTTTTAAAGACAAAAATAACGAAAAGTTTAAAAACACTCAACATTTAAAACTTTTAAA